AATTTGCCTTTTTTTTTAAAGTAGGCTCCACACCCAGCACGGAGCCCGACACGGGGCTCAAACTTCCGACCCTGAGATCAAGACCTGAGCTGAGATTAAGAGTCAGACGCCTAACCGACTGAACCCAGGCACCCCAAGGATTTGCTCTGAATACTAATAAAAACAAATCGTTTTCAGGCCTTTACAGTTTACAGAGTACTTTTTCATGCAGTTCATTTATCCCTCACGGCAGCTCGGTGAGGCACCACTGTTGGCTTCAGGGGTCCCCTTTATATTCATTTTATAGACAGGGAGGCCCAGCTAATGGGTGTGGGGGCAGAGCTCAGGCCAGGCCTTCTCCCTCCCGACTCTGCCCCCCACCCCCGCCTGCCTGCCCAGATCAGTACCTTGGGGGGGACAAGGCAGTTAAATGTGCTCTCCCCAAACGAATGTCTGTCATACGTGTACAATGAGGGGTATCAGCAGACAGCTGCATGCAGAGCAGGTCAAACGCCGTGCCCTGTGACAAAGGCTGGGTCACGCTGTCTCTCAGGCGTCCGGTCAGCAGCTCAGTCCTGGTTATGGCAGGGAGTACTTAGCCCGGGGACTGTCCCTTGGTTGGCCTCCTCTCTGAACAAGCCTGAACTTGGGGATCACTTGTGTTTCTGGGACTTATCTCTTCAGTGATTTTTCTTTTTATCTGAGCGAATTCGGCCCCATCCCTTCACCTGCTTCCCCTACCTGGGCTGGTGGTCACGAGTTCCTTCTAACTGTCCCAACTCAGCTCAGCAGAATAGACCAGGTGTCCAGTGTGAGCCGGGCACTGTGCACGGGGTGATGAGTAGATGTGCTCTCTGCCCTCAAGAAACGCAAGAGCTCCTAGGGAAGAGAAGACTGCTTTCAAACCTTCAAACCTCTTTAGTATTAGTGAGAGAGTTGGGTTGTGAGAGAGGCCCTTGCGTGTGGAGCAGGGAGGAGCGTGAGGATGTGGGAAGGCTTCCTGGAAGAGCGGACGATGGAGTCGAGCCTTGCAGACGGTACCCCAGGTGGACTGAGTGCCCCACACAAGGACAGAGAGGTGGGGAGCACAGCGTGTGGCGGCCAGATTCAGGGAGCAGATGCAAAAGGTCTGCTGCAGAGCTGGGGCCGGGAGCAGTGGCCACGGCGGGGGCTGGAGTCTCTTCCACGGAGGGGGCACCCAACCCCCTGGGGGTCAGGCTTGGGTTTTCCACAGATCACGGAGCTGTGATGTCCGTGCGGAAGAGGGGCTGGAAGCAAGGAGAGAGAGTGGAGTGCACAGAGTCCCCATTGGTGGCCCAACGCATTGTCAAGGAGAGAGATGGAGAGGCGGGTGGGCTCTTTCGGGTTCTCAGACAATGCCACGGTAAGACCTGATAACCAGGTCATGATCCTGGAGTCCCGGGATCAAGTCCCACATCGGGCTCCCTGCTTGGCGGGGGGTCTGCTTCTCCTTCTGACCCTCTTCCCTCTCGTGCTGTCTCTCATTCTCTCTCTCTCAAATAAATAAATAAAATCTTTGAAGAAAAAAAAAAAAGACCTGATAACCAACTCGAAGTGGGAGGTGCAGGAGGAGGAGCCGGGTCCCCACCTGCTCCCTCCCCTGGATCCTGAAGGCCAGGCACGGCTGGCTGAGGTGACTCCGTGGTGGGGGCTCTGCATGGCCTCCACCTTGGCTTCCAGTTGCACCACACAGGGACTCATCAGAAATAACCCAACGCTGGGACAGTGTTCCCACCCTGGGATTTCCCACTGAAGAAGCTCCTGCAAGGGAGCTGTGCCAGGGCCTTCCCAGTGAACCCTAGACAGCTCAGAAGGAGAGATCCTCCTTCCTGCTCCTTGTCCCTGCCTCTGCCACTGGGTCCACTGGGGCCAGTGGGGGGAACCGGCCAGGAGTAAGGAGACAGTGGGAGCCTCACGTCTGCTGCAGAGACCCCGTGTGACGCTGCCAGGCCCCTTCCCCGGGCCCCAGCTCCCACCTCTGAGACAGAGGGACCATGCTTCCTAATGGCAGGGATCCTCGTAGCTCAAAACAGATTCACATTTTCTTAGTTTGAGAAGAATGGAAGGCCTTACGCAGCCAAGCGTTGTCTCTTCCTGCTCTGTAGTATCTAAAATTCCAACCGTCGGGTTTTGAAGTATGTCTGCAGTGCAGGGGGCCGGACCCCCTGGGAGCAGCCAGGCTCCCACTCTCTGGAGGAACAGGCTGGCTGAAGGTATTGGGAGGAAGTCCAGCCCAACAGGCAGAATGAGGGACCCCAGCACAGGACCACCACAGACCACTGTGTAGGCGGTTGGTTGCCATCGGGGGTCCTAACGAAGGGATGGGAAACGGCCCCAGTGCCCGAGGCCAGACCAGGCGGGTGGACACAGAGAACTCTGAGCCGCTAACAGAACCCAAGCATCACACGACCTTGGTGCTAGCGTGGGCCTGGCTCGGGTAGGGGTGGGCTCCAGTCCTTAGACCACGTGCTGGACAGGGTCTCCGGAATGGGCTCAGCCCTGGAAGAAGGGCGACTCCAGATTCGGGCACGGGCTCGGCAGCTGAGGCCAGGCCCTAGAGTGAGGCAGAGCAGCTCGGTTTTCCAGAAGCCCAGCCAGCGGCAAAGCAGCTCAGGCCTGAGTCCCAGAATGGGGCGGGGAGGGGAGGCTGAGCTGTCTTGAATCCCTCCTGCCTGAGCCAGGACAAGCGGGTGGAGGCACAGAGCCTCTGGGTGGGGCTCAGAGGACACCTGTCCAGCCTGCAGACGCTGTGTGAGGGCTGCAGCCCCCTGTCCTGTGGCTCTTCTGGTGGCGTGCCAGCCTGCCACCTTCATTCTTCACCCAGTCCGACCCCATGGTGTGACTGAACGGGAGAGAGTGGCCTTTTGTAGGTCATGTGAGTCTGGCTTACCACTCGCAGCTGTGTAACCCAGAGCAAGTCATTTCCCCTTTGCAGCCCGCCTCACCCAAGACAAGTCCTCTCGGTGGCCGACAGCGTTGTGAGAACGAAAATGAGGTTGACCTAAGTTAGGAGAGTGCCTGGGCTCTGCCAGGGAGCGGGGTTCTCCTGCCCCTACTTCCTGAGAACAAGGAGGAAGGGGCGCTAGGACCGGGGCCTTGCCGAGTAGGAGACAAAAGAGATCCCTGTCAAGGATCTGGTTTTTAATTTGTTTTAAATTTTCTCATGTCTGTACTGAACCCATATTACATGTTACTTGTAGTCAGAAAGTCCAATTTCTATAAAGAAGAGCAAAGTGATATAGGTTAAATTATTTCATTAGCGACGGGGAAAGCAAGCTCACATTGATCTCGTGCCTGTCGTGTGCCCGGCTGCCAGGCCAGGTAGTTACAAAAGGCCTATCTGTGGAAGTGTGCGGGCACCGTCTGTGCTGCCGATCATCCAAGCACAGCAGAAGGCAGCAAGCAAGGGCGGGCTCGGGCTGGTCCACTCAGGGCAGCCTCTTTCCTTGAGTGCTGGAAGGCCCGCTGCCCACCGTCTGGATCCTCCTCCTTCCCCAGCTGAAACACACACGGGGACCAGCAAGGCGGCAAGGCGTGGCTCCCTGAAAACTTGGCTAGAGCCGATCCAGGGGCCCGGGACAGCAAAGTCTGGAAGCCGTGGCCGTGGAAGCTCACTTTGGGCATGAAAAGATTCGACCCGCGTTGTGTGCCACCTGGTGGTGGGGACAGGACCTTTGAGGACGGGGAGGTTCGAGACCTCCGTGGCGGAAAGCCCGTGGTCACGGGAGGTAGTGACTTCCGTTGCTGGGATCAGGCAGGAGGACCAGGCTGGGAGGCACACAGGAGACTCCTGTGCTGGGCTGGAGGCTGCCTAGAATTAGATGATCTGTTTCAGCTTCGGAATTCTGTTGCTGTCTACCCCGCTGTGTCCGTGATCCAGGGGACGACCTGCTAATCCCTCAGCGGCTCGAAGCACTTGTGGGAAAAGCCTTCACGTCGTGGATTTTGTTGTGGGCTGAGCGTGGCTGCCCTTTGTCCTGGGGAGGAGACAGGCCCCTTCCCCATGTAGTCAGGGAGGAATGAGACCAGCTTGCCTGGAGTCTCTGCCCTGTCCCTGTGGCTCTGTGCAGTTCCCCAGTGACACCCGAGCTAGCAAAGAGAAGGAACAATCAGCTCGTTCTCAGTTTGGGGCAGAAGCCTGCCTGTTCTTGTGAATGTGGCTTGGCACCAGCCCCCATCTGAACATAGGGCGCTCGCAGCAGACCCGGGCTGCTCTGAGCCCTTGACCCCAGGGCCAGTGTGTGGCCCGGTTAGTGACAGACTGCCGTCTGTGCCTTGCTGTGTCCTGCCCACCCCCGGCTGCAGGCTCCTGGATGCGGGCAGGAGGGCCCCGCATCGTGGTGGGGAGACTGGGCTGTGTCTCCACTGGACCAGGTGCAAGTCCCTGGCTCGGACGCTTAACCCACCATGACAATCATTCCTTTGTTCACAGGGCAGGACAAAGTGGATCTGCTGGGGGCGGCGCCTGGGTTGCTCAGTTGTTAAGCATCTGCCTTCAGCTTAGGTCATGATCCCAGGGTCCTGGGGTCAAGCCCTGCATCGGGCTCCTTGCTCCACGGGAAGCCTGCTTCTCCCTCTCCTACTCCCCTGCTTGTGTTTCCTCTCTCGCTCTGTCTCTCTCTGTCAAATAAATAAAATCTTTAAAAAAAAAAAAAAAAAAGGATCTGCTGGGTTTGGTGATGCCGAGCACACCGGTGATTTTAGGTGGAATGGGTTTGTGGGGCAGTCGGAGAGGGAAGGCGAGAGGGTTCAGTAGCTGAAGGACTGTCTCTGAGCCGTGTGAGCAGCATGGGGTGGTTCGTGGGCTCTGGGAGGAGAGCCCTGAGACGCGGAGAGAGACGTGATTGAGGGGACAGTCTGGGGATGGCATTGTACCTGTTGAGAGGTCAGGGTCGGCTCCTGTGGGCCAGGCGGGCAGAGACAGGGAGAGTTCCAGGTTGGTTTGCCAGGGCCTTTCTTCTCCGCTAACCTCTGTGCTTCTGTGCTTCTCTGCCCCACAGGCCCCTCCACCCAGCGTCAGGTGCAGAATGGCCCCTCTCCTGAAGAGATGGACATCCAGAGAAGGTAATCCCCCACCCAGCAGGGCCAGTGGCACCCTTCGACTCCCGGAGACAGGCACTGAAGGGGGGACAGGCCTGACCAGAAGGAAGAGGGAGCAAGGTGGTTGCGGGTTTGTCAGAGTGAGGAAGGGTCTCATGTGGTCTCATGGCGACTTGCAGTCTGCAGCATCCTGAATTCAGGATGAACTCAGCCCTCCCACATGTGTCAGGAGGTAGCTGTCACGACGTGGAGGGGTTCAGTAACGTGACCAAGGTCGCACTGCTGGAGATGGGCAGACAGACGCCCAGGGCTGTCTGCCTGACACCCGTGGCCTGGGCACCGTCCTGTGCTGCCCGCCACTCTCTCAGTGGATGCCTTGGGTGGGTGCCACGGCCTCTCAGGAGGATCTGAACCCCGGGCCCCTCACCTCCCAGCGGAGACTAAGGTGGACAAAGGCCGTGAACGCCCTTGGGGGGCTGCGGCAGCTCTTCAACAGTTTGGCCAGGGCTGTGTTGTCCTTGTTTGCCAGCCTGAGAGGGGGCAGCCCCTATGGGATGTGGGCCATAGGACGACACCCACCCTCGCTCCAGGGAGCTTCTAAAGTGCTCAAACTGGGAGGAAGGACCAGTGTCATCCTGAAGTTACAGAAGAGTCATGGTGGCCAAGGAGGGAGCAGCCGCCTCAGGTCACGTTGCCAGGGAAGACAGGGCCAGGGCGTGCACCCAGCCTGCCATTGCCTTGGCAGGGGCTCTGTATCTCTGAGAGGCTCTGAATCGGGCTCTGTGGAAGCTGTATCCAGGACGTGGGCCTGGTGCAGGCCCTCCCCATCCAGGTTCTCAGAAGAGGGGCCGAGCTGGGGGCCTGCAGCTAGGCTCACGTGGAATCCTGGGCTGGGAGGATCTCTGGGGCCCTCCTTCCTCTAGCCTCTCCCCGCCGGAGCGTTGGTGGTATAGTGGTTAGCATAGCTGCCTTCCTCTAGCCTCTCCCCCACTCTGAGGAGTAAAGGCCGAGGCTCGGTAACCTCTGGGCGCCTTCTTCCCCGATGGGGTACTCTGTAACCATGGGCAGGTTCCTGCTCTAGGCCTCAGTTTCCCATTGGAACGTAACAGTGGTATTCCTCGCTCCGCTCACCTCAAAGAAAGGAGGTAAAGATGGGAATGTGCTTCTAGACGGCCTATGGGCAAGAGAGACTCCTTTTATCAATTCCCACGGGTCTCTTGATTCCGTGGGCCTGTCTTCTGGCCTCTCAGAAATACAGCACGTTGTTGTTAATGAAGGGCTTTTACAGGTTTTGGCTTGTTTTATTCCTCACACTAACCTTCCGGGGCTCCTGTTACTGGTACCGTTGCTCACACAAGCCAGGAGAGCAGAAAGGACTTGCCCAAAGTAAGGAGAAGTTAGAGGCACAGCCAGGACCGGCAGCCTGTCTGGCCCCAGCTCAGCACTCTGCCAGGTCCTGGGGCTGCCTCCACCCCGAGAAGGGCATGGGTGAGTCCACCAGACTCAGAAATGAACATACAGAGCAGATGGACCCTAAGCAGGTCTCTCAGAACTGGTTAAACACCACCTTGCATTATCCTGACCCACCATCCAAGTCCAGCATTCCTTCCCGAGACCGCCTGCGGTCCACTGCCTGTGGGCCGGAGTGCCCCCTGGAGGCCCGGCTGTGAACTGCAGGAGTCAACACAGGCCACAGGGCGGGGACCCCGCTCTTCTGTGTCCCTGCTGGTCACCTCACACAGAGGGAGGCCCAGGGGAGAGAGGACTTATGTGGGGCCAAACACCAGGTGATGATTCCAAGCACAGGAACCTTGCATTCTCTCACAAACAGAGTCTTAAGTCCACACCTGATTTTTAAGGATTTCCAAGCACTTTCATTTTGCTGAGGGCATCTAAGCATATGGATCCTGCTGGGAAAGTTGAAGTTTTGGATGATGTTTCAGCAGTTTGGATAGAGAAGCTGATGCAAGCACTGCTGAGAGCTTTTCCAACACCTTTCATGCCAGAAAGGTCTTTTCCATTATTTCGTAGGGATCGCACATAGTCCTTCCAAGAGCCCCCTGAACACGTGTTGTGCTTCCTCTGCGGAGAAGAAGCTGAGGCCCAGGGGAGGGGCATGACTTGTCCGTGCTCACGAAGCCACGATCCCAGAACAGGAGCCAGAAAGCTCACTACCTCTCAGTGGTCTTTGCAGTAAACTCTGGGTCCCCTCTGGAGGAGGTGCTGTATCACTGACCTTTCTTGAAGATGAAAGCAGCTGTATTTTTTCCTTCCTCCATGTATTTCTTGCTTCACAAAGTACTTACTGAGCAGCTGCTACATGCCAGGCGTGGTGCCCGCACCGGAGAAGCGCCGGCTCGCTGTAAACTGAGGGCGCAGTGCAGACACATGGCCGGCAACCTCCCGTTCCGCCAGCCGCCCTTCCCGCCTTCCCTGCCAGGCAGAGACCGCTGCTTGCCTCCGCGCGCTCTCCTCCTGAGCCCAGAGTAGGTGTCCAAACATCCCGTGACCCTGGGCTTCATCGGCACAGCTAATCAGAGTTGGCTCACAACAGTTTTTGAAGCCTGGCCACTCTCCAGGGTCTGCATGACTCCTTGAGCCCCCCTCTGCCCCGGCATCTCAGTCTCAGATTCCGTGGACATATTTGTGCGTCGGTGTCCTCACTCCACCAGCCCTCAAGAGCACCGAGGTCACTCTGCCTTAAGGAGAGGGGACATTTGTGCTCGCTGAGGCACACATAGCATTGATCTCTAACGGAGGCCTGGCCTGCGGCTGGATCTGGGGTAAAAAGAATGAGGACATGCAGCCTTGGTGTCCACTTCTCCTGGCAACCAGCAATGCCTAAATTGTTCCAGGAAACGTAGTCAGGTGTAATAAAAATGGGTGACCCTGAGGTCAGGGCTGCTGAGGCCAGAGGCCCCCAAAAGTCAGATGAGCCCATCCAGCCTGGGGAGAAGCTTGGTCTCTCAGCCAGATGGTCGCCCCAGCCTTCATGAGGGGCTTCCCTGTTGAGGTGTGCCTGAGACTGTTCAGGGGGTGCTGCCAGCGCTGTCCTGTTCAGGGACCTAGAGCCAGTCACATGCCCCGCCTCCCGTGAGTGAGCACAGCGAGCCCGGCGGGCAGGGCCGGGGCGGACGGGCCAAGCTCACCGCGAGGCCCCCGGCCCGGGCCGTGCAGCGGCGGTCAGGGAGTGCCAGCGAAACCCGACTCCGCAGCCCGGGCTCCCGGACACAGAGCCCCATTGTTCTCGGCGCCGAAACGTCAGGCCTGCTCTGCTGCTGTTTTTCAGACAAGTGATGGAGCCTCAGCAGCACCAGCAACAGCGGCAGGAGTCTCTAGAGAGAAGGACCTCGGCCACAGGTGAGCACCCCTCGGGGCCTGCTCCTCTCGCTGCACCCGGCCCCTCACTGGGCACCCCGCGCCCTCCGGGAAGAGCTGCCGCTGCATAGGTCTCAGTGTGTGACGGTCACATCCGATGAAAGCAGGGGGACAAGGGGACAGAGCTGGGGGGAGAGGATGAGCTCGGCCCGGCCCGGCCCTTGCCCACCGGCCTCTGGTCCCCCAGCACTGGCTGCCCGAGCAGATGCTCCGTGGGCACGGGCCGCGGCTCTGGCACTGCGCTAAGGGCTAGGGACACACGGCGGTGAGCCAGGCGGATGCCGCCCCGGCCCAGGGAGCTCAGTGTCCAGTCGGGGGCACAAACAAGTGGAGGACACGGAACATCAGGGTGCACACGTGGTGACCAAGTCAGTGCCAGCTGCGAGGCCACACAGGCGGGCCCCGCCGGCCCCGGGCCCCTCCAGCCGAGGTGCAGGATCGTCCCAACCGTTGACTGGACCTGAGCTCAGGGAGGCCGGAGAAGGTTCCCTGAAGAGTGGCAGTGCTGATTAGTAAGCACAGGACTTCCCAGCCCCGCGAGTGCCTTCAGATCCTGTGTTTTACGTGCTTCTCTCAAACACCCTGTGCAGTAAGCCGGGGAATGTTACCCCGGTTCACTGATGGGAAGACCGAGCACCACCCCCTGCCCAGTGGCAAGAGCCCCCACTCAGGCAGATGCTGGCTGGTAGCAGCCCCTCTCAGCTAGATTTCTGCACCGAGACCCCCTGTGGGCCCCCTGCCCCGCTCTGGCCCACCGTCCACATTCTTAATGCACAGCCATCCCTGTCCCACGTCACCCCTTCCCGTCACCCCTGTCCAAGCTGGCCTCCTGGCGGCTCCCTCCACGTTCTCCAGCACCTCTCCGGCACGTCCCATGCTCTTCTTCCGACCCCGACCCCACTCCTCCTTCACCAAACTTGACTCCTGCTCTTCCGTCACTATCCCAGCGTGGTGGCCACTTCCCTGAGGAAGTCCCCGAACTTCCGGCTCTGCAGTCGGAGCCCTTCTTCCGTAGGCCCACTCCCAGTAGCACACGCCATCCTTCCACCGTTACGGAGGTGCATCCGTCGGTGTGACTGGCTCACTGCCTGCCCACGAGGCCATGAGCAGAGAGCCTGTGGCCGCGTTCCCCAGCACCTGACACCATGCTGGCCGCACGGCGGGGGCTTCCTGGGTGCTGGATGGAGGGCTGTGCAGATGGTGGACGGAGGACTGCCCAACACTCGGCATGGCTCCCCAACATACGCCCCACTCAGCCCTGCAACCAGTTACCCGCCACAGCACCTACTGCATCTCGGGGACCGACGGGCCGATGCCTGGGGTGGCACTGGGTACAGGGAAGGAAAAAGAGATGCAGTTTGTGCTACCAAAGCACTTCATCTCCCGTGGGAAGACCACGATTAGAGCAAGAGAAAGTTAGCTGAGTTCAAGGGATGTTACGTATGTGACACTCTGCGTCCAGCCAAGCCCCAGAATGCTGGGGAGACCAGGGTCGGGAGTGACAGACCAGGGCTGGGTGCATCCCACGGGGGCTTCCTGGAAGAAGCACCTTGAGCTTGTCCCTCAGAGGAGCAGGCTGCCCTCTGTCCCTCCTTCCAGGGAAGTAGCAGCTGGGGACTGGACTAGGGACCAACTAAGCCCCACCCTTGCCTTCCAGGACCCATCCTCCCACCGGGGCACCCCTCATCTGCAGCCAGCGCCCCCCTCTCGTGTAGCGGGCCCCCACCCCCGCCCCCACCCCCTGTCCCACCTCCACCCACGGGGGCCACCCCCCCTCCCCCACCCCCACTGCCAGCCGGAGGAACACAGGGTGCCAGCCACGACGAGGGCTCCGTGTCCGGACTGGCTGCTGCCTTGGCTGGAGCCAAGCTGAGGAGAGTCCAGCGGGTAAGCGTCCGTGGGTGTGGGTGGGCCGGGCTGGGGGCCACCTTCTCACCGCCTAGCGGGCAGTGCTTTCCCGTGTCTTGCGCTGGCCCTCCCACTGACCGTCACGGGCGGGGCGAGAAGCACCCCCTTGCAGATGAGGCGACTGAGGCACGGCTGTGGGAGCAGTTGGCCCACCAGGTGGCAGTCAGCTGCGGGGTTCGGACTCAGGCCCAAGTCTCCTGGATCTGGGTCCCTTCTGCCTCCCACGTGGACCCTAGAGGTCCGCCTGCCTGTCCCAGCACATCTGCAGCGGCCTGGAAGGGGGGACGGCCACGGGACAGCTGAGTGTGGCTGTGGTTCTGACAGCAGCTCCCAGACAGCTTCTGGCTTCCTTCCCCAGAGCCACCACCTCCCCAGCACATCACTCCCACCTTAGCAAGGGCACAGACGTGAGCCAGCAGAGCTGGGCAGTGTCTGCTAACCGACCAGCCGGTCCCGGTCCCTTGCTGGACTCTGGTTTGGTCGCCTGTGGGGCTGGGGGGTGGGACTCGAGAGCCTCGGGCCTCTTGCAGCGCCCCCATCATAAGAATCCCGTCCAGGCTTGCATGCACCCCCTCCCCCTCCAGTGACGTCCCGCCACAGACTGAAACGCCATGTCCTTACCCCTTAGCCAGAAGATGCCTCCGGAGGCTCCAGCCCCAGCGGGACCTCCAAGTCTGACGCCAACCGGGCGAGCAGTGGGGGTGGAGGAGGAGGCCTCATGGAAGAAATGAACAAGCTGCTGGCCAAGAGGTGGGTGTTCGGGCCCCCCCAGACTCAGCCACTTGTCAGGGATCTCCTGCTCCTCAGCATCAACGTGCAGCCCTTGCCCGGCCCCAGGGCCCACTGTTCCCTGGGCTCAGCCCAGCAGGGGACTGTCAATCAAGTTCCCCTTCTCGAGGGCTCAGCCTGAGGCATCAAGCCCAGAGGAGTTCTCTCAGCTCTCAGCCCCGCCTCATCGGTTGATTGACGCAGCCTCCTTGTACCCGCCTCGCTCCGGGCAGAGGGACATTTGGAGACCATCTCGGAGATGGGCTCCAGGGAAAAGCGGCGCATTCCCCACACTTCAGATCCCAACATAGATGAGACGTCTCGGTGCCGGCGCCTCCCAGGGTCTCGGACGGCGAGTGCGTGCTGCAGGGCCGGTCCTGCGGGGGCCCTCGTGGGGGGCACAGGGAGAGGCCTTCTGAAGGGGCAGGAGCCCAGAGGACACCACCCTGGGAGACGGAACAAGAGTTCCACCCGTGTCCCGGCTGGGCGCTGGGGCCCAGGGCCTGCTCATCCCCTTCTCCACCACACCAGCAGCCGTGGCTCCCGCTCGCCCAAGGCCGTCAGCGGGTCACTGTGCCTCACGGTCACGCCCGAGCTGACGCAGCAGGCAGAGGGGCCGGGCAGTTCCTTCTGAGAAGGGCTGCGGAGCCTGGATGTTCCTCGTAAATGTGGCAGCGGGAGCGTGCTGGCGTAGGTTGTTGAGGCCTTGGCCCCCCGGGGCCTGTCGGGATGCTCCTTCTTGTCCACAGAAGCCACAGCCGCACCCGGCCTCCTCTTAGTCTCCCTCCAAATGGGCTCGCCCTGGTGAGAGCTGGACGGGGTGTCCCTCACTAAGTGCGCACAGCTCCGTGAGGATGAGGTGGGAGACCCAGGCCCCCAGAGGGCAGGTTGTTGGCCTGGGGCTTTGCAGCAGGGGCCGGGCCTCCGCACACACGGCCAGGGGCAGCAGAGGGAGCCGTGAGGTTGGCCCACGGCACACACGGGTAACCAAGAGCAGGGGCAGACGGTGAGCAGTTGTCACCCACAGAATGGAGGCTCGTAGGGTAATCTCTCCCTGGGGGAAGCCAGGAGGGCTTCCCAGAGGAGGTTCCACATGAGCGCGGCCGGAAGGAGGAGAACACTTGTCCAGGCTGAGGCGAGTGGGCAGAGCTACAACACAGGGAAGGCTGAGAGAGCCACCGGGCCTAGAGCCCAGGGCGTGGGGGAGAGTGACCGGAGGTCAGGCTGCAAGAGGTAGCCTTGTCTGCACGCACTTTGGGCTCCATCTCACAGAGGTGAGCGGGGCCTTGTGTAAAAATAGATGTTTTTCAAAAAGAAAATATTCACGCCTTCCCCAAGTCCAAAATCAATGCGTCAGCAATAACAACCAGGCCTAGATGGTTCAGACCAAACGCAGAGGAAGTGCCTGAGGACAGGAAAAGGTCAGCGTCAACAGAAGCCGGTGAGACGCCCAGATGCTGGCGGGACAGTCGAGGCCCCACCAAGAACAAGCATGAGTGCACCCCGCCCACAAGGGTTCAGCGAGCCGCTCTTTGAAGTGTGGAGTTTCTGCCTGTCCCTCGGGGGGCTGCGGCAAGGTCTCTCTCCCAGCAGCGGGGTACAGGCGGGAAAGTCATCATGGCCAAGAGCTTGTGTGCCGGGCCCTCCCGGGACTGCCATGCCTGCCTGCTCTGTATCTTCAGAAAATTAAAGGCTGGCTCTGGGTGGGGACAGAGCGTCAGAGAGCAAAGTGGCAATGGGGAGCCCAGCCGGGGGGCCGCTGTTTCCAGGAAGAGGTGCTGCTGGCCGCCACTAGGTGTCCGAAGTGAAGAAAGGAGGACAGACTTGAAATACGAGGCAGAGGCAGAATTGGCTCCACTCTTTTTTTTTTTTTTTTTTAAGGTTTTTATTTACTTGAGAGAGAGCGTGAGCATGAGCGGGGGCGGGGCGGAGGGAGAGGGAGAAACAGACTCCCCAGAGGCCAAACGGGGAGCCCAATGCAGGGCTCAATCCCAGGACCCCGGGATCATGACCCGAGCCGAAGGCAGACGCTTAACGCCTGAGCCACCCAGGCACCCCTGCATTGGCTCCACTCTTGTGAGGAAGAGGTTGGTGGGGAGGATTCCCCAGGTTTCTAGGAGGAACGACTTCCTGCGGGCCTGTGCCCTGGCCGGGACAACCTCACCTCCTGAGTTCCACGAGCGCTGCATGCTCTGGCAGCTTCGCTGAGCCCGGGGGCACGTGTAGATTTGGGAGTTAGCCAGATGTGGGTGACCACCGAGGCCAAAACATAGGGGTGGACTTCAGAGGCTAAGAGATGGGGTCCAGGCAAGTGGGGAGCAGGCAGATTGAGCAGAGGGCATCAGTTATAGCTCCCGGGGGTCCTCCCCTTTCTGAGCAGGGCAGGCTCACAGTGGTGTTCCAGATCAGAGAGGGTGCGGCTGCAGGACTAAGTTCCAAGGTAGGAAGAGGTCGTTCTCCTTCCCATAAGGAAGTGGGGTTCCCTTCCCTAAGCCAGTCAGCCTGAAGACAGAATGCTCCCCCAGCCCTGACCTGTGACCGGGGGCACCTCTCCCTGTCCCACGTGGCCAGACCCAGGCCCCCAGGGAACCTGGACAGGGTGCAAACCAACTTCTTCCAGCCCTCAGGTGCTATAAACAGACATAGGAATGCCCCCCGGGCCCTATTCTCCCTGCCCAGACCCATTTTGTGCCCAGGGTCATGGGACAAGCACAGAAGACCTGGACATTCACCTGGGCATCGCCAAGGCCGCTCGAACAGTTGCCTCCTTCACACCAAGCAGGGGTCAGATCCCCACCACAGGTTCCTCTGAGGACCAGGCTATGCCCAGCAGAGGCATCTGGGTCAGCGTGAGAACCTTCAGGAGCTGATTTGCACCTTCTTCCTCCTTGTACTAGGAGAAAAGCAGCCTCCCAAACAGACAAGCCGGCTGATAAAAAGGAAGACGAAAGCCAAGCGGTAAGCAGACCCCAGTCCTCACTGCCCTGGGCACCCACCGGTGGGGGACACTAGGCCTTTGGGGGCACTGACATGCACCCAGTTTGGACATACCTGTGATAGAAACTTCACCAGGTGGTTCACAGGAGGTACAGGAGAGTTTGGGGGGGCCAACGTGCAGCAGAACCTGCGGAGCACCCCCACACTCTGGGGGAGCAGGCCTGTGCTCTCTGAGCATCTGGCAGGCACTGCTTTGCCCTGGAGCTCACAACTTCACGAGGTCAGATGAGAGGCCGAGAAGCAGGATCCAGCCCCAGAGTGCCATGAGGGGAAGGCTTGCAGTCTGGGAGCACAGAGGGGCCACGCAGACAGATCCCCGCCTCTGCCGGGAGAGGACCCAACAAGCAGACAAAGAAAGTGCTAAGGGCAGAGAGAGAAGGAGCAGCAGGGGCCCTGGGAATAGAGGGAGACGTCCTGAAACCATGCCTGGAGCCTCCAGGAGAAGTGACATTTGCCCTGAGCTTTAAATGGTGAGCCCGAGTTTGCAGAGTGGAGACACAGTGGACGGGGCTGGTGGGGATGGAGGCCGACGCGCAGAGGGGTGGGCGAGTTTGCAGAGCGGCGTGGGGCACCCCAGCTCTCGGGGTTCTGCCTGGCCCGCTGGTCAAGCCTGCCTCCCCCAGCAGGAGGTACTTTTAGCAGCGGGGTACTGAGGACAGAGCTAAGTTCTAGAGCTCACTTAGGCAGCAGCACCGATGAACTTGTGGGCTGGTTGGGGATAGAATGAATTCTTACCAAGTCCTCCTTTCTTGGTGAAAGACGTGAATGGGGTCTCCCACAAGCAGGACGTAGGCTGTGCCCTGGGCAGCCCTGACCTACAGGGCTGACTAGAACCTCCCTCCCCGGGCCCTGCCCTGCAGCAGCCCCTTCTAGGGTCACTTGCCTTCTGGTCCTCACAGCAGCCCATGGAGATGGGAGCCAGGCCTGGAGAAGGGAGGTCCCTTCCGTGGTCCTGCCAGGTTACTCCCACGGGCAGCAGAAGGGTCCCAGTGGACAGTGGTACAGAAGCTCCCCCGGAGCTCAGGCCATGCTCGTGCCCACGAGGCGCCGGCCTCGGTCGTGGGGCTCAGGAATGGGCAGGGCTTGCTGCTGGCCACAAAGAAAGTCGGCCCTGCTCTGCTGGAGCCCGCGTCTCCCCCACAGCCTCCTCCCTCCCTGCCTGTCCACGGGCTAGCCGCACTCCCCACCGAGGTTGCGGGCTTGTCCTTGTTAACGGCAGTGCTCGTTGGCTGGCTGGTTATAAAAGTAGTGCATGCTCCTTAGAGGATGTAAGAAGCTGCCGTTTCCTTGTGACCTGGTCGAGCACCGTGCCCTTGCCCCCGCTGGCCTTCCGAAGCAGACTCTGAGGGCAGAGCTTTTCTTCTCCATTTCAGGAAGAGCCGAGCACCTCTCCATCTCCGGGGACCCGAGCAACCAGCCAGCCACCTACCTCCTCAGGTAAGGGGCGCTGTCCCGCCCTGCGACGGGCACGAGGTCTTAGAGCAGGAAGGGCCCCCCCAGCCAGAGCACGCACCCCGGAGCCTCGCTCTACAGATGAGCTGTGAGGGCCAGTGAGGTGACACTTGCGGGTCTCCCTGACGCCTTCTGGAAGCCCCGAGCCTCCGGGAGGAGCCCGGACAGGCGCAGCTGTGGCGTCCACGCTGAGCCGGAGCAGGTGCTGGTGTGGCCCCGAGAGCGGCCGGGCCGTAACGGCCCACGCAGCCCTCTCGTGTCCCACATGGGGCCAGGAGGACCAGGAGGCCAGGAGGGACTCTGCCTCAGGGGCTCAGGTCCCCGGCCTCAGGCCGGGCTCTGAGGGGGCACACGGACCCGTCTTGCTCGTTGTGGCGCTCAGAGGAGGCATGCCCGGTGATGCTTGCAAAGTAACGGGTGAGGACACACAGCCGCAAACCCAGCTCAGAAGCCCGTGGGAGCTCCAGGACGCGGGGATGTCATTAGGAGGCCGCGGAGCGGGAAGAAGCCGCCGTGCCTGGGCACTCGGTCATCCCACAGACGCTCGTGCAGCCATCTGCTCCGAGCCACGCCTGTGCTCCCGAGCCTGGAGGCAGGGGCAGAGGGGAAGGCCCCCCCCGACCCCGCAGCAGAGGGAGGCCCTGAGCAGCTGTGGCACTGGCCTCTGGTCCTGCTGCCCTGCGGCCTGGCTGCCGCTCCTCCTCGGTGCGTCGGTCCCCGGGGATTCTCGGTGAATGACTCCACAGACACCTCACACCCCAGTGAAGGGTTATGTGTTTCCCAGTTTAGGAGGTGACGTGTTTTGCTCAAGGCCACATGCCTGGCGCCGGGGTGTGGTCAGAGACCCTCCTGAGGACAGGGGGCCTCCCTGCAGCGCCTGGGGGTTTCTCTTCTGTCTCTCTGCCAACCCTGCAAAGTCAGGAATTCAGTTCAGTCCAGCTGCTCTCTTGAAATAAAATGAAATATGAATTTAGCCCCACTTGCAAGCGATAATGGAAGGAGAAGCCAGCTTTCAGGGCGTGAGCGGGAAAGGAGTGTGGAGAGTGTGAAGCAGACAAGCGTCTCGGGGCAGCAGGTGCACATGTGGGCCTGCGGGCTGCCCTGAAAGCATCCAGGCCGAGGGCTTCCTCCGCCCCGTTCGGCCCTTTGCTGAAGTCGTGGGTCGACTCCAGGAGTCACGGTTAAGAGGTTCCCTGACCGCTGGGTTCACAATCCCAAGAAGAGACCCAATCATGGTGAGAGGACTCAGAACCAGGCCACAGTCAAGATCAGCCAGGTCGAGGGGATGGGAGCTGTGTCCTGAGTAGGGAGACGCAGGGTGACCGCAGAGCCCTCCACAGCCCTGCAAGGGCCAGACTGGGAACAGAGAGCCGGGTTGTCCGCTCCGCCCGAAGCCTACCTTCCTGATGGGGCAGCTCTGCGCCCTCAGCGTTGGGGGGCCTCCTGCCTGGGATGTGGCGGGGGGTGGCCGCTGAGAGTCCTCCCAGATCTGAGGCTCTCTGTCCACTGTATGGATTGACAGAGGCTGGCCGGAAGCCCTGGGAGCGGAGCAACTCGGTGGAGAAACCCGTGTCCTCGTTACTGTCCAGGTGAGCCGCCCTGGGAAGGCGGAGCTGTGAGTCCAGGGGGGCCAAGGCGGCGACGGGGCGATTCACGTGTCTGTTTCATTCCGTGCCCTAGAACCCCGTCTGTGGCCAAGAGCCCCGAAGCTAAGAGCCCCCTTCAGGCGCAGCCTCACTCTAGGTACTGAACAACCCCGTCTCGGGGGCCTCCTCTGTCCCCTGCCCGTGACTAACACTCCAAACCCGCCCCGTGTGCTGTCACCTAACAGTTTGCTCTGGGAAAGGGTGGCCTGTTCCCCCAGACCTGGGGAAGGCAGGGCTGGAGGGACTGCAGGGGCTGTGCGGACCTGCTCCGGGCTGTCCCCTCACAGAGGGAGAGACCGGGGCCTGGGGAGGGCGGGGAAGTGACTGTGACCTCGGGCAAGCCAGGTGGCCTCTCCCCGCCTCCACTCCTCCCCCACCCCGTAAAGAGGTCTCTCAATCCCTGCGTCCTGTGACGCTGTGTGGTGGGCCACGGCTGGACGCAGGAAGTGCTCACTAGCCACAGCTGCATCCCGCCACTCAGCTGATGCCGGGACCGGCCTCCTCTGCCCACAGCGCACAGCGCCATGTTCCCCCAGAGAAACCAAAAGCTGGCGTGATCGCAGGATAGAACATTCAAAACTGAGGGGTCCCCAAAAGCGAGAGAGGCAAAAGCCACATAGTCCCCAGGGGCCAAGTGTGGCCTGAAGTTGCTGGTCTCTGGAACCCGTACTAGGAAAGGTCTCCACTGCCCTGCAGACTGAAGGGGAGCCGCTCCTCCCACAGAACAGGCCGCGCCGGAGCCTGGTCTTGCAGAGTGGAGCCAGGCGCTCAGGGAGAGCTCCAGCCCGGCTCTGGCGGGAATGGGGATGACAGATGCCGGTCGTCAGGAATGAGGTCTCAGTGGTCAGCCAGGTTCTGAGCTGGGTCCTGCAGGTCCCTGCCAGCAAGGAGCCCGTTTTCTGTCAGGAAGGCCCGGGCACGAGGCAGCCGTGTGTTCTGAGAGGTGCTGTGTGTAAGACAGGGTCACGTGGCAGACCGGGCTGGGGACAGAGGTGCTTTAGTGCATGGGCTGGGGCAGACCTCTCAGAGGTGGCATTTGAGTTGACCTGGATGAGGAGGCGCCTGCCCTTGCAAAGAACGTGGGGACAGCCTTCCAAGCTGGAGGAGATGGTAAGTGCTGAGGCCCTGTGACCGAGTTCACAGAGCAGAAAGCCGGCCAGCGTGGCTAGCCCGTGGCGGAAGGTGGGGAGGGCCGAGGGAGGTAAGCTTAGAGGGGTCACAAGGGGTCCCGGGGCTGGAAGGCTGGGTCTCAGTTCTGTGTGCAGGACCCCAGTCCTCGAGCTTTAAGCACAGGGCGCCGTGCTGGACCAGCACTTTCCCCCTGGCTATGAAGGGCCTGGGGACCAGCAGGGGCCAGGAGCCAAAGGAGGGGCCCCAGGACAAGGGAGAAGGCTGGGCCGCCAGGGCGGCCCCCTGCAGCTCATCCACACGGGCAAGGACACTCTGAGGGGCTGTCCCCTCGGGTTGGGGCTCTCCGCCTCTGAGACCGGTCTGTTCTCTAGTGTCACAGAGAGCTCCAAAGGGGGCGTGTGGTGACAGTCCACCTCGGGGTGACTGGGGGGGGCGCTGTCAGGTGTGCACGTGGGAGAACTGAGGCCCGGGAGGTGAAGCACTTTGCCCAGGTGGCCCGGGAAGCTGCTGCTGGAACAGACGCTGAACCCACAGGCCGGACGTGTGGAGCCGAGGTCTCAGGCTGCACCTCTTTCCCCATCGGGATCCAAAGTTACTTAGACCCCTTGGCCTCTTTCTGGAGTTCAGCCAGGAGGGGCGCAGGGGCCCATTCTACGTTCTTCTTTGCTTTTTTTTTATTTCTTTTAAGATTTTATTTATGAGAGAGAGAGCACGAGCAGGGAGGAGAGGGAGAAGCAGGCTCCCCGCCGAGCAGGGAGCCCGATGCGGGGCTCGATTCCAGGACCCTGGGATCATGACCTGAGCCGAAGGCAGACGCTGAGCCAACTGAGCCACCCAGGCGCCCCTATTTTTTTTTGTAATCCAGGCTTGGGCACTGAACTACTAAACTTGATTTATTCAGGGGTTTGTTTTCTTGGCTTTATTAAGATACCATTGCCACCTAACGTTGTCTGAGTTTACACGGCGATCCACGTGTGTGCAGGTGGTGAAACGCTCCCCGAGATCAGGCTGGCTGACAGCCAGCTCTCGGTTTCCAGATCCACTGGCTTAGCTGCTCTCACGCGTACACCTTGTGCTTAGCTGTAGTCCCCGGGCTGCACATGAGAGCCCAGAACTCCCTCATCTCCACCCGGAGGTGTGTGCCCTTTGACCTCCTCCACCCGCCCCCCAGCACCCCCAGCCCGCAGCAATCTCCTGTTGCTGGGCCTTTGGCTCCTTTAGATTCCGCACATCAGTGAGACCACGCCGTGCTTGTCTTTCTCTGCCTGACTTACACTCCGCGTCTCGCCCTCCGGTCACCTGTTGTCACACGCAGCAGGTGTCCTTTGTTCTGGCCGGGCGGCAGTCGCTGCGTGTGTGCCACATCTTCATCCATCCGTCCCTCAGCAGACACCTGAGGCTGTCAGTCATGCTGCCGTGACCGCGGGGCGGGGGGGGGGGGGGGGGGCTGCCTTCAGGACAGTGGTCTCCTTTCCTTCAGATGCACTAGCCCTGGTCTGGCTTGTCCGCAGCGGCCGGGCCTGCTCTCGCCCTAGAGAGGGGCCCCCCCGCAGCCGGGCTGGCCCCGCCAGGTCGCCTGTCCGCCGTCCGTCACCCCCTCGGTCCCCGCCACTTCCCCGGACCCGCAGGCCCCGACCACCATTGTCTCCCCAGGAGATTAAGTGGGACCCAGACGGCAGACCCTTGCGCACCGCTGCCCTGCTTTAAGAGGCCGAGTGGCCAGAGGAGCATTTTGTCAGAATTTTCCAGGGACGGTTCCCGTATGAGAGACACTGCACAGCAAACTAGCTAACGTTAGTTCGGCAGCTTTTCAAGGAAATACAATCCATGCCTCAAAAGAGCAAAACCACTTCCAAGGACGTTTCCTGAAAAAAGTTACACACTAGATAGGACCAGTTACCAGAAGTGGGTGCCCTTAGGATGAGTGTGGACCGTGCAATTTTGTGGTTTTGCTTTGTACTGACTGCCACCGTCACTAGCTTTCCCCAAGCCTCAGTTTAGCCAGGAACACAGACCCCTCGCTGAGGAGTAGCCGTTCTTTCCAGAGGGGGCAGCGTGTGACCTGCCCTGTCACATCTGTGTACGAGCTCGCACATCAGCAAACAGCCCCGTCGTCGTGCCCCAGAGGTGGGAAGTATGGTCACGGGATCCATGAGACCCCCTTGAGGTGGAGACGAGCCATCAGAATCCTGTCAGAGTAGCTCCAGAGTGGCCAGGGGTAAAGCAAAAAGCACTTGAAAGACGATGGGAAGAGGGCCGTGCTTGGCCCGCGGTCCTGGGCCCTGAGCTTGGAGGCCGGCCTGCTCTCTCAAGCTCTGTCTCCGCAGGGGGGGGGCACCCGCCGGCCCTGCCGCCCCCTTTACCACACCCTGCCGTCCTCTTCAGGATGAAGCCGGTGGGGAGCGTGAATGACGTGGCCCTGGATGCCTTAGATTTGGATCGGATGAAGCAGGTGAGTGTGACCTTTCCTGGGAGGCCATGACAGAGACAGAGGCCGCGACCCTCTCGGGTCCACGCGGATAGGCAGGCTCAGCAGGGCGGCCAGAAGTCGCTCAGGGAGCCAGCGGTGGAGGAAGGGGGCCCCCCGCCCCATCATCAGCAGAAAAGCACCCCTCTGCCCTTCTGGACACTCCAGCCTGCTCTGGGCCCCCCCACCCCCACCCCTGGGGCTGCCCCTGGCAAAGCCAGCTTCCTGGACTCTGCTTCCTGTCCCTTCACTTTGAGGCTCTGCTCCCAACAGGAGATCCTCGAGGAGGTGGTCCGAGAGCTGCACAAAGTGAAGGAGGAAATCATCGACGGTGAGTGCGGGACCCACCCTGGGGCGTCACCCAGGGTCCCGGGGGAGCGGCAGGGCGGCCTGGCCCCCAGGGCTGCAAGGCAGCAGAGCGGTGGCAGCCCAGCCAGGGAGACCCTCCTGGGCCCAGAGGCCCGCGGTTCCACGTCACCCCCCTTCTCTGGTCAAGCAGACTGAGGCTCAGTTAAGTGGGTGGGGTGACAGCTAGCTCCGCACTCCCCGGCTTCCTCCCTGGGACAAACGTGTGAATGTGTGGAGGGGAGAGGGACCGGAGAGCGCATTCCAGAGCAAGCCGCCTCCAGTCTGTCCCTCGTCTGTCTCAGTGTCTGTGCACTCAGACTGCCTCTCTGGACTCTGCCACCTTTGATCACCGGGTCTGCGTTCCAAGCGTGGCGGCGGCCTTCCCCGGGGGGCGGTTACCGGGACCAAGAAGCCACAGAACCACCTGGGGCTGTGACGCAGTCGCCCGCTTGCCTGGCCCTGGGGTGGGCAGCCCGCGCCAAGCGCCTCTGGCTGCAGAGACCAGGGCCCAGGCACAGGGCATCACAGCCATCCTTGCGCCACCTGCCCGAGCCTTCGAGGCAGCTGGCTCAGGTCCGGCGCTGGAGGGAGAGGAAGGGTTTGGGCAGAGCAGACTCGCCCTGGGAGCGGGCAGTGAGGCCCAGCCCGGGCCCAGCCCGCCTCCCTCCCCCTCCTGAGGGGCCCGGTCCCCACAGCAGCAGCGGGGACCTGGGCACGAGAGGGCTCCGTGAACTAAAAGGGGTGCACGCTGGCGGCAGGGGGCTGGAGAGGGGAGGGCAGTGTGGGAGCCCGCGTGCAGGGCCGCCAGGCCTGGACCCCGTGCGCCGAGCTGGGACCGGCCACGCCCTGTCCTTGTCCCAGCAGAGCACGCTCAGTTCTTGTTTGTCCGGTCCCCCCGCCCCGCAACGGTCCTGGGCAGGGCAGATAAAGAGTTAATGAATGAAGAGCAAGGCCAAGCCCCGGAGGAGAGGAGACACCAGGCCGAATAGAATATTAACTCTGCTTTATTGCTGGGGCCCCCACCTGGGAGGGGCCGGCCCTCTGGCCCCAGGAGGCTGGGTAGGCGCAGCCGCGGATGGAAGTGGCCTCGTGGGCGGCCGCTGGGCCCGAGGGAAAGCACAGGCAATGTGGGGGCTCCGAGAAGCACCCCCGTGTTACTGGCTAAGTGCCCGGCACTCCGCTCTTCCAGCTCCAGGCCCAGTGGGGTCTGTCTGGCCAAAGGCCCCAGTCTGGGGGGTGAACCGTGAGGGGTGGGGACAGGAAGCTGGGGAGAAGAGTAAGGAACCCTGCTCAAGGCTGGGCCCTACCTGCTGCCGCTGCCAGAAGGGGGGCCCCGGGTCCCCGAAGTAGCACCAGGTGCCCAGCTCTGAGGCGGGAGGCAGGCCAAGCACCATCCGCGCCCCCCCGCCCCCCAGCTCGCCCTCTACCTGGGAGGGGCAGCACCGCCCTCGGGAGGAGAGCCCAAAGGGCTCTGCGGTCCCCCCGAGTCTGTGCCCGAGTGCTCTGCGCTGCTTGACCTCCGGGAGCCCGGCTGAGGCTCTAGGAGATGGAGCAGGGCACAAAAGGACCTGCCCGGGGGCGCGGGCACAGGGCCCCACAGACAACCAGGCAGGCCTTGTCCCTGCTGCACCTGAGCCTCCCTGTCCTGTGCCTCAGCCATCCGGCAGGAGCTGAGCGGGATCAGCACCTCGTAGAGCCCTCGGCCCCTGCTGCTGCCGCCCGAGACACCAGGCCAGCTGACGGCGGGGACAGCGAGGAGCCCGGCGGCCCCAGGCCTCCAGCACACGGAAGCCCGCACGGAAGCCGGGATGTGCTTCATTTAGAAGTCTTAACCTGTGATAAAATATTAAAATGAGGAAACAAGTTCAATTTCTGGATTTTTTTAGATTCTACCTGACACAGAACACCAGGTCTACTCGCCTTTTTTGTATTTTATATTTGCCTATTTAAGTGTACATTTCTTTTGGTTTATAGAGGACTCCCCAAATCACGCGCTTCATTAGGTGGTTTCGAGTTTTCTCCTAGGTGATGCTGTTAACACCTTGGCTGGCAGTGGCGAGCTGTCCCCAGCGTCGTGGTGGTGAAGTCTGTCCACGCACCGCGGTGTCTGTGTCCACGTGGTAATAAACGCTTACTGTCCACACCCCTGGCTCGGGCTCACTCTCTCGCGCCGCCTCTTGGCCACTCCGGGCTGAGGATGCCCCCTAATGGGGGACGGCCCCCGGGCCTCGCGGCCAGGAGCAGCAAGAAGGCGGCGGCGGCGGCGGCCCTAGCGGGCAGCTGGGCCGAACACAGACCGGGGAAGGCGGGAGCGAGAGCAGGGGCCTCTCAGGCACTTCCAGCCGGGGGTCCTGGGGAGGGCTGCCCCCGTGGCCTCCCCTGAGACGGGCCCGAGTGCCACCCACACCTGGAGTACCAAAGGGGCTGGCTCCATTCTGACCACAGCTCGGGGAGGGCTGGCTTGGGCTTAGCAAGGCAGCGGGGAAGTGACAGGCTGCATGGTCCCGGGAGGACCCCGGCCCTGCCCTGCATGCCCACCAAAGGCCCACCCAGCCCTTCTCAGACCCTGTGAGTTCCCCTTTGGAGCCAGAGAGGATCTGCCCCTGGGCCAGGAGCAAGCTGGAAATGCTGTACCATCTCCTGACCCCCAGGGACACAGCCGTTTGCCCAGCCGTCCGGGGGGGGGGGGGGGGCAGGGGGGGGAGGGGATGGGGGGCAGAGGGGGAGGGGACGAGGCGGGGCCCCCAGTCTGGCTGATGACAGGGGACTGCTGTTTTCTGGCCAGGCTCTGGACACCCCAACTCATCGAGTGCTCCCAACCCTGAAGCCGGGAGTAGGACGGTGATGCCTGTTGGGGGTGAGCAGCCTGAGGCCTGATCTCAGAGTGGCTGCCCCCCCCCAGGTCCAGCAGCCGTTCTAACGGGGGTGGGGGGGCGTCTGGCAGGTGGTGACAGAGCACACCTCTCTCCCCGGGCAGCCTCCTCCCCAGGACAGCTCTGCAGGTGGCTGGGCCGGCAGCCCCCACGCGGGCAGGCCACCTGTCCAGGCTCCAGTACCCCGGCCGAGCTGCGCTTCCCTCCCAGGGCCAGCTCGGCGTCTAGGGGACACGGGTGCCTGGCATCTCAGGAGGCCACTCCCGGCCCCCAGCAGGAAGTCCACGCTCAGGCACAGGGCGCGGCGACACGCCTCCCTCCCGGGTCAGCTAGCACGGTCCCGCGGCACCCATCCAGGGGCGGTCCTCAGCCTCCCCCGGGGCCCAGGCACCCCTCCTGCTCCTGCTGGCCAGCCCCTGGGAGACCCGGACCCCGCCCTACCCCACCCCACCCCCTGCAGCCCCCTAGGTTTCAGCCGTGCCCCCATCAGGACAGGGTCATCACCAAGGACACCGGCCTGCTGCAGCCAGTCCCCCACCTGTCCGGCCCCCGTCTACCCTCCGTCTGGCCTGCGGCACCCTTCCTGAAGATCTCTCAAGTCCTGAGGGAGCGGGTCAGGGAGCCAGACCCCACCCTGTCCAGCCTCTGGGGCCAAGGCCTCGGGGTGGAGCGGGGGCAGGCGTGCGACTGAGGACAGGCAGTGTCTGCAGCGCTCAGCCGGGCTAGAGAGGCGGGAAGGCTGCTAACGAGGGGCTTCCGGGCCCCAGGACACGCAGGGGACACCCACAAAGGCACAAACCCCCCCGCCGGCCCCCGGGGATGCTGCCTAAGCACAAAGCGTGGAGAGCCACAGTCCCTGAGGGTGGGGAGCAGAGGGGCCGTGGCCTGGGCTGGCCGGGAAGGAGGCACGCAGACCTGAGGCCCGCTGGGGTGGGCCGGGGCCCCCTCCTGAGGCCTTGACCGCCACTGGGAAGCGCGATGTGAGGCTGTGCAAACAGAACGCAGGGCGTGGGACCAGCAGAGAACTCAGCTCCGCGGAGACTGCGCACGGAGCACCCAGGGCGGGGCCGGGCCTCTGTCCCTGAGAAGGGGACAGAAGAGGAGGGCCCGGCCGGCGGGCGACAGCGCAGGTGCAGACCAAGCCTCTCCAGGCTGCAGCCCGTGCCCAGCGTGGCCAGACGTGGTCCTGGGCTCTGGGACACAGAGTGCAGCCAGGGCGTGGGAACCAAATGCAGCCAAACCAGTTCTGGGCACTAGGCGGGCGGCGGGGGGGGGGCAGGGGGGGTGACAGCCAGCTCTGCAGCAGGGGAGCCGGGGGCCCGCGGGGTCCCCCTGGCTCCCGTCACGAGCAGGGCTCACAGACGGTCCTCGGCCAGCCTGCACACCCGCTTCACCCTGGCGTAGGGCCCCAGGGAGTCCTTGAGCACGAAATCCCAGAGCACCTTCACCCACGAGTGGTGCTGTGGCAGGTGGTCGTAGTACTCGGGAGCAATCTTCCGCACCTGCAGAGAGGGTGGCAGGGTCAGAGGCCGCGGCCGGGCGCACGCCTCCCTGCCACACACAGGCATGGGGGCACGCAAGCGTGCCCGCAACCCTGGGTGGGAGCATGCGCAGGGCGCACACTGACACACACACGCACACGCACACGCGGCGTCACCGCCCAGCGTCCCCTGCCCCCTCCTGCCCCCCAGCCCCTCCGGCCTCAGCGGACACCAGGCCCCCACCCCATCGCCCTCCTCCCAGCCTTAGTGCTTCCCATTTCCCAGTGGCGTGGGGCACACCTCTCCCTCTAGCCTCCTGCCCCCTCTGCACCCACACCCTCAGCCCACCTCCTCCCGGAAGCCCTCCCAGCCTCAGCACCTACATGCGCACCCCCACCGCCGCTCGCCAACTGCCGGGGATGCCCTTCACTCCCCCCAGGGGGATGCGCCCAGTGCCCAGGGCCTGCTTTATAGCGGAAGATGGGGGCTCGGGAGAGCAGACCCCCTGCTTGAGGCAGGAGCGGGGAGCCTTGACTTAGCTGTGAGCCCTTCTTTCCTTCTCCCCGGCAAACAGCACGCGCGTCCGGCCGGCCCCTGCCTGAGCCTCTGCCTTGTCTGTGGAGGGCGGACAGCGGGGAAGGAGGACGCCCGCTGCACGGGCCTGGGGTGAGGCTGAGATGGGGCCCGGCGCGCAGTGGGACCTCAGGAGCACCAGCAGCAGACGCGCGGGGGGCGAGGGCCGGGGGCCGCACGGCCAGGGCCAGACACACCCCGGCGGCCGGACTCCGGGGTCACCCGCACACCCAGACAGGTGCTCTCACGCGAGCACACGCACACACACGTGTACACACGGCACACTCGGACACAGGCAAGCATCCGCATACGGGCGTGCACACATGTGCACACGGGGCAGGCACACAGACCCCAGCGCTCCCCACCGACGCCTGCCCCGCCCCCTGGGCCTCGGGTCACCCCCGCTCTTCCTAACCCGCCAGCCCACAGCTCCTCTCCTCCTCCTCCCCCTCCCTCCTCCCTCCTTCAGAAATTCCCCAACCCCAGGGCGGCTCCAGCTCAGGCCCAGCCTCTGGGGTCACAAAGGGCCAGGCCCACCCTGTCCCCTCTGGGCCAGGAGGGGGCCCTGGAGGGTCGCAGGGCAGTGACGGGAAATGAGCAGGGACAGGGGAGGTGGGAGCCAGGAAGGGGAGGTGTTTTGCGTGCAGCGTGGCTATGCCGGCCCGTCTTAAGGAAGGGGCGGCCGAGGCACAGAGAGGGCAAGGGGCCGGCCCAAGGACGTCCAGCCTGGGCTCAAACAGGTTTCCGTTCCCCCGCGAGCCCCTGCCCCCCCAGAAGCCACCTCCTTACTCTGTAGCCGGGCCCCCGCTATCCCGGGGCTGCGGGGAGGCCTCTCCCGCCCTGGGGCCACAACTGAGGCAGCGGGCAGACAGCGATCAGCAAGGCCGAGAGAGCTGGGCTGTGGCCCCCCGCGCGCCCCCACGCCCCCCGCTCTCCGGCGCCACCGCGTACCAGGGGCAGGTTGCAGCCCGGGATGCTGGGGAAGTCGTGGTGCTCCATGTGGTAGCCCACGTTGAAGGTGATCCAGTTGAGGGGCCCGTAGTAGGAGTACGTCTCGTGGCCCTTGACGAACAAGTAGTGCTCGGCCACAAAGTGGCCCGAGATGGGGTGCAGGCCGAGGCCCAGCAGGGAGCTGGCCAGCAGGTAGGCCACGGGCTTGAGCCCCCACAGGGCGAAGAGGGCGGCGTCGGCGGCCAGCTGCACCAGGGCGTTGAGCACCTCCATGCGGGTCACGGCCTTGGGGTGCACGCAGAGCGGCCGCAGCGAGTAGAAGAAGGGCTGCAGCACCAGCCAGAGCAGCTTGCGCGCTGGCGTGCAGAAGAGCCAGCCCTCCAGGCGCGTGGGCACGTCCACGTCCAGCCCGTGGCCGCCCAGGTAGCGGTGGTGGTCCACGTGGTACTTCTTGAAGGAGGCGGCGTAGGGCAGGCCCACGGGCAGGTTGGCGAACACGGCGAGCCAGCGGTTGCGCCCCGCGTGGCCCGAGCCGAAGGCCGTGTTGTGCGAGATGTCGTGGATGGCCAGTGTCAGGGCGTGGTTCACGCAGCCGCCGAAGGCGTAGGCCCAGAAGAGCAGCCAGCGCCAGGCCAGCTCCCGCGCCAGCCAGCAGGCCAGCAGCTGCGCCAGCACCAGCCCCAGCACCGTCCACTTGAGCCGCGGGTCCGGCCGCATCAGGGCCTTGAGGGCCGGGTACTTGGCTGCAGCGGGACCGAGAAGAGAAGGGGGTGAGGCGGGCGCGCCGGCCGCGTGGGGCCCCCCAGCCCCCCACCCAGACGGAGCTCGGCCTCCCGCCTCCCCGGCACCATCCGCTGAGCCCCAGGCAGTGACAGCGGGGTCCCTCGGAGACCTGGCCCTGGCAGAGCCAGACACGCCTGCCTCCCCACCACCTGGGGGCCCCGGGGAGACTTCCCAGAGCGGGGGGGAGGGGGGGGCCTTTGCCACCAGCCCAAGGAAAGACCAGGTGTCACCACAGGTCACAGAAACATAATGCCCGGGGCGCCTGGGGGGCTCAGCCGTTAAGCGTCTGCCTTGGGCTCAGGTCATGATCCCGGGGTCCTGGGGTCAAGCCCCGCGTCGGGCTCCCTGCTCCGTGGGAAGCCTGCTTCTCCCTCTCCCTCTGCCTGCTGCTCCCCCTGCTTGCGCTGACAATTAAATAAATAAAATCTTAAAAAAAAAAAAAGAGCGGCACCTGGGTGGCTCAGCCCTTAAGCGTCTGCCTT